AATAATTGCCATGAACACAGTCACTATTACCATTTTAAAATAATTACATATGCATAATCTTAAAATGGTAACAATATGTTGAACAACAAGATCTGGTAATATTTGTACAGAAATCAGACTTACCAAGATTATGAAATTTGTTATGACGTATTCAAGAAGAAACAATCAAGATGAAACAACAAAAAAATTGACTGATTTTTTTTAAGTTTGGGATTCAGGTTGAAGTGAAGAAAATATAAAGTAGTTTTTAGTGATAGAGGTCTATTTTTGGGCAGGAATAAAATGTAAGATAGAGATCTATTTTAGGCCAATAAAATAGCAAACAGAGTTCATTTTAGGCCAAAAATAGTGAACAGTCTATTTTAAAGATTAAATAAAAATAAAGCCTTTGAGTGATGTGGCAATAAATTTACTAATATCTAATGTCTACTTTTAGTCCAATATATAGTTTTTATTCGATCAATAAATCAAAGCATTAGATCAATCAATCAAGCTATTTATTAACCCTAATCCTAACCCTAACCCTCTTGGTTATCAACCCTCCTATATATCAACCAAATCCTCCGGTCCCGTGAGGTTGATAATAGAGAGGGGCCACTGTATTTCTATAAAAGATGTTTCGCGATCTCCAGTAAATTCTAACGATACTCCAGCTTTAGTGTTCGGTATTTCCACCGATCATTCCCATTCTAGTTTTATTATACTAATACATAACTTACAACGTGACACTTTGTATATTGTTATTTTGTATACTATCTCTAAAGTCTATACGATTGGTTGGGTACTTTACAAGAATAATGGTAGAAAAAACTGATAACCGAATTTGTGAAACCTTAGAGGTATGTTTATTGTTTATTGTCCAAAAAATTGGCTTCAATATATTTAGCAAACCATTTTTTGCGTAGGTCGGAGAGGATTATGGTTCCGTTCGGACCAGAGGGCAAAGTAATAAAACCGCCTTATTATCGGAAAATTCCAATGATAACAGTGTGAGACGTAATATTGCTTCTTTGGACGTTCTATGTCAATCGGCCCTCCCGGAAATCTACAATACAAGCTCAACGTGCATATCTTGTAAGGGGTCAGGAACTCTTAGTCGACAAGATTGTGGAGATGGAACCAAATGTACTATACCGCCCTCGGACAATAAATCTCACATACTCGGAACGAAAAGAGAAGATTTTGAGGTTCATGTTCGGGGCGTCAATTCGTTTCGGACCAGTGATAACGGAGTCGTGGAAATTCCAGAAATTAATACCAGCATTAAGAGTGAAAACAATAAAGATATTATAGTTGAGTTTAAATCATGTCCTAACCGAAGAACAATCGAAAATCTGCAGGCATCCTTTGGGAAATTGTTCAGAATTGGTACCTTGGGAGGCACTACGTGGACAACGGAAATCCAAAAAGAACCGTGTCACTATGTGCTCGCACACCCTGGCAGTGGAACAAAAGATGATCAAGAATCCTTGACTCAGGTGTCAAAATACGAAGACCAAAATGGAGCATTATGCGACAATAAACTTTTGGTAGTCGATACATTTGAAAATGATTCTGACCGTCGTAATCTTGCATCTTTTATTGGTTGTGAGCTTCCTAGTGATAGTGGTGATCCAAAAGGACTTCAATTATACATGATGTGGGCAGCAAAATTTGGTTTCAATCACATCATTATTATTGGGGAGATCGATTATGGAATGATATTTTTAGACTGTTATGGTCGTGTATTTCTGTGGGAGGATATGTGCCAAATGTTGTGGCCAATGGGAAATTCTTTGGAAGAGGCAAGGTTGAACGATGGAAAAGATAATTTATACTGGATTTTGTTGAATGATGAAGTTATTTGTGAGATCGAAGTACCACCTGAATGTGCGTATGCAAAAAAATTTTTGATAATATGTGCATTAATTACTATTAGTTACTGATATTTTTTTCTTGTACTTGTTTTCTTCCAGCTATATTCACCAATGCAAAAAAAGGAAAGAACAAGAACTCGAAAAAGAAAAAGCATTATTAATATATTTAAGAATATGTAGGTACATGATAAAAATGCGTCCTTTGTATAATCAAATTGTTAATTACGTTCTGAAGTTCTCATAATAGTTTGAAGTATTTGTACAAATAAAGTTTCGGCTTACTTTGTTTGCTTTTATATTCACGTGCGTATTGGAAAAATAAACACCATATGTTAATTTTATTCAATGAGACCCAATTCTCGAAGATATTCTGGAATAACTATATATGGATCTTCGTAATACCAGACATACCTTAAAGTAATCCAGTTTTCTTCGCACAATTCTTGAGTTGATCCCGCTCTTGCTGTTTAATAAAATTATTGGGATCACCATTATGAAAGAATTCGATATATTCTTCATGTTGCACTCCTTGAACTTCAATTGCAAAACCATATTCATAGTAAGGGATATCAAGTTGCAATCCCGATGAATGCTCTGAAGTTTTTAAGAAATCAGGCCAGCGATCTTCTGATGGTGGTCCAAGATATTTTGATACAATTTCACGGCACAATTCTTCACGTTTATATTTGGACACCATGTAAAACCATTTTTTATATTATTAAATCGAGCAGTCCATTCATGACCTTTAGTACAACACCAACGTAATGGAATTTCGATATATTTTCCGGAAAGGCATTTACCATTTTTATTCTATGCGTACTGCTTGACATATTCGAGAGTGTAAGGTTTTCTATGAGAACATTCTGGACACCATGATCTACTATTTTTGATTTTAGCAAATGAAGCAAACCATTCATGAC